GGAAGCGTAAGCACAAGAGTCCCGAATTAGGTGAACCACATCAAACATTAACCCGTCAACTTGGTCAACGCTCCACACTGCCGTATTTTCCACCCACAAGAGCCCACTCACCCACCCCCCAAACCCAGAATTAATACCTCCAGCCAATACAGTGACAGTGACTCACACCACAAGACATACTCTATATCCTGCCGCCAAAAGGCCGCATAGGTATATCCCTCGCAATCAAACGACAAAATACCCTTCCTTTCCCAGCATCCAGTTGCTTTTTGAATTATATATAGTCATTCCCTTGCTATCAGGCTAGACTTTCGTCCGGCCGTCATCCATGACGTTGTTTTCTTAACCTTGCCGGCCTTGTGTGTATCCTTCCAAAGAGGTATCCGATCACCAAGACGGCAACATACTGGTCAAATAAAAAAAAACGCTTCAGGTGTTTACCAAAGTCCAAAAAACATGATATATTTTCTCAAACTCTTCCCATTCTGTCAATCAGTGGCTGTACAGATTGGGCACCAAAAGCCATGTCTAATACCCCACTCCCCTGATCAGACATCTCACCACCTCTTCTGTCCATAGCCCCCCCTATTACCACCTCCCCTCCCACCACCCCTACCATTATACCCCCCATTATTTCCCCCACGTCCCTGCTGCCACCCACCCTGATACCCCTCCTGCGGCCCCGTCGGCGGCGAAAGAGGAGGCGGCACTCCATGACCCCCCCTCCCAGCCCAACCCCCCTGAAATCCCATCCCCATTCCCGGAGGAGGAGGAGGAGGAGGAGGCGGCGGAATCCCAGAGAAAAACCCCTGAGGTATACCACCCGGTGGCGGAGGCGCAGGAGGCCAAGGCCCGGTGTAATTCGGCGGTGGCGGGAGCGGCATCGGTAATCCTGCCCCTAGGTAGTTCGGCGGAAGATATCCGCCGGGAAAGTTGCCAGTGGGCGGTGCATAAACCGGCTGGGTTTGCAGTGGCGGCGGTGGTTGACTTGGATAAGCTTGATGGCCAGGTTGTGATATCCGATCTCTGGACGGTGGTGGGAAGTAGCTTGGGCTTTTGGGGAAGCTTCCTATTGGGCTTCTGCTTCGGCCGCTGTGGCTACGGGATCTGGAGAGGGATCGAGAACGAGAACGAGACCTTGATCTGGACCGGGATCGGGAGTAACTCCGGCTGCGATGTCTTCTTGAACGAGCGCCCCGGCTGGAGTGTGATCTTGATCTTGATCGTGACCGTGATTGATCAGTGTAGGATCTAGATCTGTTTCTGCTCCCGCTCCTGCTCCTGCTCATGCTCGCATCTCTGCGTCGACGTCTAGACCGACTTCTACCGCTGCGTGGTGATTCCGAGACTCGCTGGCGTTTGAAAGCAGGCCGATCTGAGCTCCTGCTCGACACACTGTGGCCGCGGCGGCGTCCACTACGACTGCGAGATCGACTGCGTGACCGGCTGTACGAACGCGATGATCGCGTCTGTCTTCTTCCTCTACTATCATCCCGCTCGTTCTGTCGCCCACCGTTCCGCTTCCGCGCCTTCATGTTATTGCAAAACTGCCGAGACCAGCCATAGTAGGTGTCACCTCCAATGATATCGCCCGTGATTTCGTCGATCTCGACCATCTCTCCCATCTGACCAATGTCTCGTGGCGTCTCGCCAAAGTCCGCTTCATTAGAGTAGATCTTGTCGATATCGAGAAGGAGGCTCTTGACTGCTTCCACTAGGTTCGGTTCCGCTGGTCCCTTGACCAACTCCAGCGGCTTGATTACCGACGGGTTTATCGACTTGGTCGAGTTCTTTTGGAGATGTGGAAGCCAAGTGCCTGCAGGAAGGTCGTACCACGGCACCGAAGGGTCTCCGTGCATTGCTGGCATGATGAATGGGGCTGATTTTGCCAGCTTAGCCGCAGAAGCGTCTGAGGCGACAGTCTGCTCGGCGTCCTTAGCTGCGTCCTCCTCGACTGGCGTTTCCACTGCTGTTCGGAGCTCGTGAATGTGTCCCTGGAGAAAGTACTGGTTCTCTTCCCACAGGCTGACCAGGTCTCGTAGTTTTCGAATGTGTTTGGGGCAATTGTTGAAGGCGGCAGCGCTCTTGAACAAAGCAGGCAATGCGGGCTCTAGCTTCTGGGCAAAGCCGTCATCGCGGTTTCGATACTTGACGTGATAGAGCAAGTCGTTGAGAATGAAGAGTATGTGTAGCCGGCGTCGCCTTGCCGAGGGCACGCGATTCCTTGCTGATTGTGCGGTGACATCTTTGTCCTGGCCAATCGACTTGGAAAGGGCGACCAAGTATTTGCAAAAGTTGGAGATCCGGTTCGGCGAAGGAATCAGATTGTTCAGAGCCCATTGTTTGCATCTCTGACGCGGTGCGACTTAGCCATCAGGTCTCTCAACGGGCAAACAAGCTATGGAACAAAGCGTATTATCAAACCTGGACATTGGTTGGCGAGCACTCGGCGATGGTCGAGTTGAGGAGCGCGAGCATAGACTCGATGTCATTGCGCGGACAGGAGACTGGATCAGGGCGAAAGAGAGCCGAGGTGAGCAGCGTCTTTGAGATGGTCAACTCTTTGGACGCCGACTCCATCGTGAAGGCTGGGGGGCGTTGCTGCCACGCTTGGGGTTCTGTTGATACTGAGTGAGCACCCTTGTGGTTTCGGTAGATTCGCAAATAATTATTTGGAGGAGGTTGAACCAAGTCAAGTCGCGCCAAGCCGGCTCACAGCACCCTTACCCCGGCACAATAGCCCCACATCTATGCATGCTTAATTCACCCAGTACAGTGTGCACACGGTAGGTGAGCCTCGGGGACAAAATATTTGCTGCTATGATTTGATACAATCTTCATTTGAACTGGGAAATGACAACTACCTTACCACGTGAGGCTTTTTGTTTCCAGTAGGCAAGTATGCCTGCCAAAATCTTCAGGTTGGATGAAGAGATGCTAGGTCTCTCATCATCCGAAGGACCGAATCGTGAGGGCTATTAATCAAGAGAGAGGAAGGTTGCTGCTGTCTTATACAATCTCAAATTCGATTCTGGCTATCCCTCCGGTGTCTTCCGATGTTCGGCTAGTCAAGGTCCACGACTCGTGTTCAACCCGTCATCCACCACCTGTCTGTCCACCTAAACCCAGCCAGTCCACCACCAAACCCCTTATGAGAACCGGTCACCCTTCGGACTGCGGAACGGCACACTGGCTTCGTACTTGCTCTTCTCGACTACCCTCTCGGCCTCGGTAGCAGGCGCATGCCTTGTAGGCGCCGGATCATTGCCCGTCTCTAGGCTTGGTGAGCCGACTGTGTCTGTCCTCGCTGGTGTGCCCTGGCGAGGTGGGACTGAGGCAGAACCACCCATTGCTGAAGAAGAAATTGGCTGGGTCGGGACATTCTGCGAGTACTCGAGCGATTCAACCATGCTCTTTCTCTTGCGCTGCTCCTCGAGGCGAGCACGCCTGTCAGCATCGATGCCTTGCTTCGCGAAGTAGTATGCGCCGCCGCCGGCTATGCAAGGTCAGCAAGTGTGCTCTACATGTTGAGAACTGGGACTGGTATACCCAAGCACAATGCGCCCCAGCCCGCCCTAGTTCGCCGTGTCAATCAGCAGGTTCTGCATGGAGTCCGTATCTCGGAGCGTACCAGAAAGATTTAACCTAGAGAGCGCAGGTTGTCAGTCAAAACTGCTACGTCATAATATCTTCAGAGAAATACGTACAGTGTTCATTTTGCTGTCTGTACCAGAACTATATGGTTTGGATGATGGTAGGAAGTCAACTTTGCCGTGAGATCCGTTGCGAGGGAGAGACAGAGAGAGAGAGAGAAAAATCCACGCCAATGGATGCAGGTCCCGAGCTATCTTCGTCTAAAAAGACCTTTGTCGACAATACTTCATAATGGGGTGATGTGCAGGATAAGGGCCCAGCTCCCGTCGACTGATCTGAGTGGTCAGTGCGGCACCGTAGAGTTGAGTAGGCCTCGGCCATTAGGGTCCCGCCGCCCGACAGTCTCAACGGCTTTGCCAGCGTGCAGCAAGCTTGGACCACCCCGCCATTTATAGTGGGCTGTGGCGCACCGGAACCTCACCACCATCTTTGAAACATGGATTTGTTGGGGGGTGCTCACCATGCAGGCCTCCATCTTTCTCTGATATAAAACACAGGCTCACCTGTTATTTACACATGGTCATTGTTCATGTACTCGTACCTAGTGCCTCCTTTCTTGTGATTTGACATGGAAAGGGCGTCCTCAGTGGCTTGAAAACGTTCACTGGGCCGCCTGTTGGCGCGGGCTCATTGCTCAATCCAACATTTGCGAACAATTTTCAGGGGAAACGACTCTGGCTGAGAACGCATTACAGCCAAGAGTTTCTGGAAGCAAGCTATGTGCATCGAATGGACAGGCACGACATTACACGGCCAATCCAGACCCAAAATTAGCCTGCCAACAAAAGTGGCCGAAGTCTTCCATCTGGACTTCCATACGTGTTTCGCTTTCCAGAGTGGCTGCTTGCGGCGGCCAAAAGGGGCTCTTTACAGTCTAAGTGGGGCTGGACAGACGTAGAGTTACTAGAGTATGAGTTGTTCCTGTTCGAAACTTCGGATCAAGTGTGCGTCTCGGACCTCTCTTTGAAGTACCTTTACGGAACATCGTCATTCTATCCCCTAACACGCAGTCCCGGATCGGCCACGGGGCACTCACGTCCCCACTATCCGTATCTAGTATCCAGATCCAGCACCAACACTGCCCTGCCCCAGCCAAAAGAGCCCCCTCCACCCGCCCGCCGCAGCGGTTCGCATAGAACACAACCATCAACCGTCTCCCTTGGAATTTCGGGTATTGGCATTGACGACAAACACGCGACCGCTCTGCTCCTGGTCCGCCTCGCTCTCTCAACCGTTCTGCTACTCATCGCACGCTCCGTTCAGCATCACCAACGATACACAAAACACCCAACAATACGGATACGCTCTGGCTGAAGGAGCTTCAAAGAGTGTTATGGGTAGAGCGATCCAGAAACCATAGTTCGCAACGGACCTAGATCACCATGGATCCCCCAGCTGACAACGGGACTGACGGCTCGTCCATTGTGAGTGAGGTCAAAGGCGGTGTTGTTCTGGTGTTGCTGGGGTACTATGGTAGATCTCAGAGCTGACCATGTCCGTCTTTCACAGAGACCTGTCTCGTCGCTATTGGCAAAGTTTGAAGGCTTGACCACCAAGCCCGGCGACTCGCAACCCGGTACACCAACCCGAAATGCATCCCCAACCCCGGCGCCGGCGCCGGCCCCGAAGCCTGGTCGACTCCGTGAGCGGGATCCGAGTCCCTCGACCACAACGCCCCGTGAGCCCCCTCCAATACCAGCGATGCGACCCAAAGACAAGTTGACGCTCCAGAGCCTTCACCCTGCATCCGCGAACGCCAGTGCTTCGAGCTCGCCAGTACGAACTGTTCCTCCTCCTGTTAGCCCGAGGGCCAAACCCACGAACGCCCCGGCGCTCACCGTTGAGCCCCCGCATTCACCCCCGAAGAGAGGCGTAGGAGGCATTCCTACCGGTGACCGTCCGGCATTTGTTAGCACCGATTCTCTTGTAAAGTCCTCATCTCCGGCGAAGGCGGGGAACCAGTTCAACTTGCCGAGCAGAACTCAGACGCCATCGGCGGAACCCCGAAAGTCCCCGCGTGTGGCGCCTGCCCGCCCCCCGTCACCTCCTCCACCTAGACGGTCGGTAGAGTTGCGGCGGGAACGAGAGATGGGCCATAAGCCAGTACCGCCTCCGATCAACCGGGCAGAGAAACCTAATTCACGTTTCACTCTGTTCGAGCAACCGAGCAGACCCGCTCAGTCGAGTCAGCCTATTGATATTCAGAAGAGGTCGAGTCCCAAGGTGTCACCTTTCAACAGTCCACCTAGCAGCGGAGGATCGCCAGGTGAGGAAGATGTTCCCCCAGTCTTGCCTACGAGGCCGCGACAACAGCAACCGCATCACCAACAGCAACATAGTCTTCACCAGCAGCACGGAAATCAGCATCAGCCCTCTGTCGGTGTAAAGAGGTCAAATACCTTCCACGTCGGTTTCGACCCGCCACCTCAGCACCATTCATTAGCCGCAAAGAGACGAGGCAAGGACGAGCCTCTAACACCGCAAATCACTGGCGACCGGCCTGCGCTGCCTGCACGACCACAGAGTATCATCGAGTCGGTCCGCGCTGCAAATTCTGTCTCAGCACCACCTCCACGGCCTCCACGGCCAGGAGTCAACACGAGCGTAGCGACAGCAATCCAACAGAAGCGGATATCCTCGACACCAGTAACACAGGCGCCCCCTCCTATTCCACGGCTCAACGGTAGGTCCGTGACGGCGGCGGATCGGATGCCCGGGAGAGTGTCCAACGAATATCACGCTCCGCCTCCTCCAACACCCGTGGAAGCTAGGCCCGCTGAAGCTCAAATCGCGGGCTCACACAAGGCCGATTTGGGATATCCAGACACGTCAAGAACGAACCGAAGCAAGCCATACTTGCATAAAGGGGCTCACGAAATTGCCACAAAATACGACAGCCGCATGTTTGATGTCTGCGGGGCCTTTGTCTGCACAACAGGCGGTTATACAAGGGCGTGGAATGTTATGGACGGGGAGCTGGTTATGAGCTTGGCCATGAGCGAGGGCATGAAGGGCGCATCCGTGGCCTTCAAACCGGGAGAGAGCGTCGACGAGGAGGGCGCGAGGATATGGATCGGAACCAACAATGGCGAGTTGTTGGAAGCCGATGTCTTGTCGCAAAGTATTGTCAACAACAGACCAAACGCACACGGCCGCTACGAGATTATCAGGATATACAGGCATTTCAACGAGCTGTGGACTTTGGACGACAGTGGGACACTTCACGTTTGGGGGCCGGCCGATGGTAGCAATCTGCCCAGTTTGGCTTACCCTCCTACACAGACCTTTCGCGTGCCTAAGGGTCATGTATTTTCCATGGTGGTTGGTGATGAACTCTGGCACGCCACAGGCAAGGAAATCAGGGTTTTCCTACCAACTCTTGACGGCAGGACACAGTTCCAGGTTCTCATCCGACCTCTAATTCAAGATGGCGCTGGTGAAGTTACGTCGGGTACTCTTCTCGCCTCAGAGCCGGACAAGGTGTTCTTTGGCCACAACGACGGCAAAGTCAGCATTTATTCGAGGAAAAACTACGCTTGCCTTGGCGTGATGAATATCAGCCAATACAAGATCAACTCCCTTACTGGTGCGGGACGATACCTCTGGGCAGGATACAACACTGGCAAAATCTCGGTCTACGACATGGGCCAAACGCCATGGGCCGTTAAGAAGGACTGGCAAGCCCATGATAACCCGGTTGTGAAGCTGATCTCTGACCAGTCGAGCTTTTACAAGCTGGATCGTCACCAGGTGGTCTCCCTCGGCGCGGATAATATGTTGCGTGTTTGGGATGGTTTACTTCAAGACGACTGGCTGCAGGCCAAGATGAAGCAGCATGATGCGAGGTACTGCCACTTTGAAAAGATCAAGGCGTTGATTCTGACGTGGAATGCGGGAGCTTCGACGCCGAATAGTCTCAACTATTCGAATGATGACAGAGTGTTCATCGAGAATTTGCTGAGGAGCAGTGACTCGCCAGACATCATTGTCTTTGGGTTCCAAGAGCTGGTTGATTTGGAGGATAAGACTTTGACTGCGAAGAGGTTCCTGAAGCCGAAGAAGAAGGAGGGGACGGACCAGGAACGGATGAGCCATCAGTATCGGAACTGGCTGGCGCATCTGAAGCAGAGCCTGGATCAGCATATGGATGGGGAGTTGTACCACGTGCTGCATTCCGCGCCGCTCGTGGGGCTGTTCACTGCCATTTTTGTCAAGGCAGACCTCCTGGGCCGGATCAGCAATCTTAACAGCGCTGAGGTCAAGAGAGGCATGGGTGGTCTTCATGGAAACAAAGGTGCCATTGTGGTGAGGTTCATGGTGGATGATACCTCGCTCTGTTTTATCAACTGCCACTTGGCAGCTGGACAATCGGGGGCGAATCAAAGACACAACGACATTGCCGCTATTTTGGAGGCGTCCCTCCTGCCAGGTGAGAGGGACGCCTCGGTGCGGTTCGACAGCTTTGTCGGTGGCGGGGACGGCACAATGATCCTAGACCATGAGCTGTGTCTTCTCAACGGAGATCTCAACTACAGAATCGACACCATGTCGCGAGACACTGTCGTCACAGCTGTCAAGGCGGGCAATCTCGCCAAGCTCCTGGAGCGTGATCAGCTGCTCGTGGCTAGGCGAAGGAACCCCGGGTTCAGACTCAGGGCATTTGAAGAGCTTCCCATCACCTTTGCGCCAACGTACAAGTATGATGTTGGGACGGACAACTATGACACGTCGGAGAAGAGAAGAAGCCCAGCGTGGTGTGATCGGTTGCTCTTCAGGTGCGGGGCCGGCAGGGGAAGGATAGAGCAGTTGGATTACAGACGGCATGAGGTGCGAGTGTCGGATCACAGGCCAGTGAGCGGGAGATTCAGGTTTGAGGTGAAGAAGGTGAGGGGCAAGGAGAGGGCACAGGTTTGGATGGAGTGCCAGCAGGAGTTTGAGGATCTGAGGGGGAGGGAGGGAAGAGGGGAGAAGTGAGTTTTTTTTTTCATTTTTTTTTTCATTTCAACTTCTCAACCTTGGAGTAAGGACTAACACCCGCAACAGATTCTTCTACTTGACGAACGTGATTGGGTACGACGAATCAACGGCAACACAATTAATCGAGCAGCAGCAGCGGTCGAGCAGGTCTGCTGTTGGTGGGAGGAGAGATCATAGAAGTCCTAGTGGACAAAGGGAATGAAGAAATGAGAGAAAAGGGGGGTAATGGCGACAGCAGCGACGAGATAAACCGAACAGCCATACATACAACAACAACAACAACAACAACAACAACAACAACAACATATATCGGAAGCATAGACAGGGGAAGCGATGCGTTTGTGGTGTTTTTAGAGAGCCTGTTTTTATGATTGCTGCTGTCTGCAATTGGATTCAAGATGGATGGGTGGTCAAAAAGACAAGATGATATTTGAAGAGATGAATATCTAATGTGTAGATGGGATGAGATGAACTGAGGATGATATGACTTACATAATATAAAGGATGCTGTGTTCAAAAGGGTCGTTTGTTCCTGCATAATGCTGTGGGGTTGGGGAGTTTGATGATGTCATTGTTACAATGGGTGGTCAGCTGCGAGGATAGAACAAGTAAAAGATGGGAGCTATGGATGGGTGAGGCAAGTGAGAGGGTGAGATGGCGTAGATGAATAATTGTCGGTCTTTTCGGCCTCGGGCTTTGGGGTTGATTGCTAAGCATACCTTATAGAGGTATCACGGTCCTCTCTCGGTTCAACGTCAGTACAAGTTCTATTAATCACTCAATACAACCTTTTCTCTGCAACACCTGCCATCTAATCCTTCTTGCCTTGATGTCAGCTCTATGTACCTGCCGATAGGTAATGCTTGGCGGATACCACTCTGCGACC